TGTGTGTGTGTGTGTGTGTGTGTGTGTGTGCTGAGAGGGCTGGACTACAGGACTGTTTATTGAAGACTCATATGAAATGAGGGTTGTATGTTGGTTGCAAACCAAGAAAACAACCCTTTCCTCATACAATGAAAGTCCAAAGGGGTCCACAATGTGGTTTTGGACCACATTGCATTTCATTATATGGACAAACAATATTTTCTTTTAAGTTAAAAAAAAGTCACAGAGGTTTGGAAGAATGTTGGTAACCCAACTGTTGCTAGTAGCCATTGACTTCCATAGTATTCTTTTTTTCGGTAGCCGTAGACTTACTACTTTGAAAGTCAATGGCTACTAGCAACTGTTGGGTTACCAACATTCTTCAAAATATCTTCTGCCACCCACACACACACACACACACAAACAAATCTAATAAATAACTAATTATTGACACTGATTGCTTGTAAAAGTTTCTTACCATTGACCAGTAGTTGGAGCCAATCGGCCGGTAGCGCAGTAAGAAGGTTAAGGGAAAAGCAGCCATGATTTCAACCGACCAGGATGAAGGCCAACTCCACTGCACCAGTAACTGAGTGGGCTGACCTTCCACCTGAAGAACTCGGACGTCCTCGGGAGGATCTGGCTGCACTGAAACCACAGAATTACAGACATCAATTCTTATGAGAAAAATTAGAAAAAAAAGAAAGATTATGGAACCAAATGCTACTCTAAAAGAGCCGAAGAAATCTTTAAGAAAGCTTTTCAACCCCTCCTGCGTACTTGTTGAGGTGGGGAAGTGGACATGTGTAAAACATATTTCAAAACTCTATTATAATATAAATCAAAATATATGAAATGAATCAATGAATGTGCTAACGATATGAAGGCATATAATCTCACAGAGTTCATGAGGATCTATCTGGAGGATGGTGGAGTTGGATCCCAGCGGGTTGATTTCGGTGATGTTCACCAGGATCTTTGAGGTCCAGAACGGTGGGTTAGTAATCGTACACTCATTCACCCCAATGTGCTCCTGCTCGCAGGGCTCCACATCTCTGCCCTTAACACTGTAGAAAACAGCAGGAGATAGATAGATAAATAAATAACATATAACATAACATAACATAGCAACATAATTATTTGATCAAAAATACAGCAAACATAAAATTACAGTTTACATTTTAAAATAACTATTTTCTAAGTGAATATATTTCAAAACGTCAAATATTTCAAAATAATTTATTCCTGTGATCAAAGCTGAATTTTCTTTACGTTTTCTTTAATTTGCGCATTACTCCAGTCTTCAGTGTCACATGATCCTTCAGAAATCAT